GTGGAGATAAAGAAGAGTACCATGGTTTGTTTAATGTTTGCAGTTTTATCATTTGAAGAATACTATGTACTACTGACGACACAGACATATTATTGTTTCATGAATAGGACCTCCTGAAGGGATGAGCTACAAAACAACATCTTACCATCAATCTCACTTCCCCAAGCAGAGTATAGTTAATATTTTACAATTGACGTTTTAAAGGGAGTTGTAGACTTTAAAAAAAATAACTCAAAGCACAAGGTATTGATAATTGTGAATCGAATTATTGATTGCAACATCCCCAACCCTAATCACCAGCACCGAGCCTCTCTTAGGCTGCCAGCAAGCTCCAGCTCTGAATCTCCAGGCCCACCAAAGGGCCCCACCCCCAAACTTAGCCTGTACCTGTGTCATAAATATAAAGGGAAGGGTAAACCCCTTTAAAATTCCTCCTGGCCAGAGGAAAAATCCTCTCACCTGTAAAGGGTTAAGAAGCTAAATGTAACCTCACTGGCACCTGACCAAAATGACCAATGAGGAGACAAGATACTTTCAAAAGCTGGGAGGAGGGAGAGAAACAAAGGGTCTGTGTCTGTCTATATGCTGCTTTTGCTAAGGATAGACCAGGAATGGAGTCTTAGAACTTTTAGTAAGTAATCTAGCTAGGTATGTGTTAGATTATGATTTCTTTAAATGGCTGGGAAAAGAATTGTGCTGAATAGAATGACTATTTCTGTCTGTGTGTCTTTTTTGTAACTTAAGGTTTTGCTTAGAGGGATTCTCTATGTTTTGAATCTAATTATCCTGTAAGGTACCTACCATCCTGGGTTTACAGGGGTGATTCCTTTACTTCTATTTCTATTAAAAGTCTTCTTGTAAGAAAACTGAATGCTTTTTCATTGTTCTCAGATCCAAGGGTTTGGGTCTGTGGTCACCTATGCAAATTGGTGAGGATTTTTACCAAACCTTTCCCAGGAAGTGGGGTGCAAGGGTTGGGAGGATTTTGGGGGGAAAGACGTGTCTAAACTATGTTTCCCAGTAAACCCAGTTAGAGTTTGGTGGTGGCAGTGGATATTCCAAGGACAAAGGACAAAATTAATTTGTACCTTGGGGAAGTTTTAACCTAAGCTGGTAAAAGTAAGCTTAGGAGGTTTTCATGCAGGTCCCCACATCTGTACCCTAGAGTTTCGGAGTGGGGGAGGAACCTTGACAACCTGCCAGCTATACTACCCCAAAACTTAGCCTGGGCCTGCCAACCTAGCCACAGCCCAAGTCTAGTCAAAGCCTGTACCCTGCCATAAACCTATCCCACGCTTACCTCCTGGCCTCAAACCTAAGCTTAGGCCAGTCCCCTGCTAAGGGCCCCAAACTAACCCAGGCCCGCAAATTGCCCCCATCCCTAAAGCTAACTTTCCCCTAGAAACTGGTCCCATTACTAACCATGAACTGGACCCAAAGTAGGATGGCCAAGTGTCTCATATGCTGCTTATTCATTTGATAGCTCTCTCACATATGCCCACATTTCAGTTGGATTCTCACACATCAGCTGAGCTGTGGGTCTGCCAGAAATGGCAATTTCCTGTAGTATCTTTGGGAAATCTTACTGTATGAAGTTTATGTATCATTGGGCCAGGGATTGTATGTAATTGCATGGGGGAGGGTGACCACAGTCCCTTCAGGCACTAAGAACAGCATAGGGTGACCTAAACAAATTCACTCAGATTGTAACACCTCACAAGGGGCACCCCCTCCTGTGGAGGCGTGCATATACTAGTTGAGACTGGCTTCTTCAGAGGTCAACAGACAAAGAAAGGACTTTTGGATAAATAACCTGAGTTTAAACTGACTCAGGGCCTTCATTCTTACATGGAAAACAGACAGGACCATCTGTCCAAGGGGAGGGCTCCAATCCTTAGGGAAGGGTTGGAAGGACTGACATTGACCAGAGCCTCTGTGGGAGATGGGGGAGGGGATCTCTGCTGAGCATTTTAGCATGCATGTAGCTTCTCTTCTTGTTTTTAATGTTTTCTCCATATTGCTTTCACCTAAATAATAAATGTGCTTGCTTAGAAAGAGCTGTGTGGTACTTTTATAACTGTGGCAATTACACTGCTTATAGCCTCTCAGGAGAAGGCAAAGCAGGCCTCCTTAGGCAACATGACTTTGTTGGTGAATTCACAGTATAGGCAGGGAACTGTGTAGCCTGGAAAAGCCCCAGTGATGAGGAAGAGAGATGCAAGTCTCTGCCCAAGAGAGGTGACAGCTGAGGCACTGGGAATCTAAAAATGGGTGCCTTGCAGGACCACAAGGGGAATACAGGTGCAGTTTCCTTGAATTGCCAGTAGGTCTTTGCCTGCAGTTGCAACCCCAGGCTGTCTAAGGATATGTCCACAATGGAGTGGGAAAGGGTGATTTCCAGCTCAATGAGGCATACCTCTGATTGAGCTAGTGCGCTAACAACAGAGACGTGTGGCCACGGTGGTGGAAGCAGTGGCAGGGGCTAGCTTCCCCAAGCACATAGCATCTGGGACAGGATCATACTTGAGGCAGCTAGCCCTTCCTGCTGCTTGCATCACCACAGCCTCATTGCTATTTTTAGTGCACTAGCTCAATCCGAGTTAGTGCTGGTATCTCTCCTCAAGTTGAAAATTAAACCTCCAGCTCCAGTGTAGACATACCCTCGCATTGCTGTGGAGTCTGCTGCACCGATGACCTTTCTACGTCCTATCTTGCTGCACCATGTGGGTTCCCAGACAGCAGCAGCAGCGAGGAAGAGGCAGGAAAGGGTACTGGATAATGTGAGAAGCCCATTAGTGGCTGCAGACTATCTCAGATGACAGGTTCCTATAGTCAGTAACTCCCCAGCAACAGCAGCAAACAACATGCAATGCCTCCACCCTGGCCTAGGAAGCCCCACCCTCTCTAACTCTAACCCTGGGCTAGGGAGCCTCATCACCTGCAGCCCTGCCAGTGCTCTTGATTTCATTGTAGGGCAATTTTGGTGTCTCTTGGAGCCAGGATGGAGATAAGGCCAGAAGCTCCACTCCTCATATGATTTCCAGGCCTACCCATGGGACAGCCCCTGCTGAGTGGCTGTTTTCTCCACTTACCCATTGCCTGCAGAAGAGAGGCCAATCACAGCTGCTGCAGGAGGGTGGCAGAACTCTTGCCCTCCCCCCTCAGGTGCAGAGGGAGCAGCACACACCATGCTCACAGGAGGTCAGAGGGGAGCAGAAAGAGTCCTGCAGCTCTGGCCAGCCCTGCTCCCTCCTGCCCTCTTGTGAAAAATGGGTCAGCCTGCTCCTCTCCCCTCCATCCCTTCAGCATCTGGTGAGGGGAAGAGCCCCTGGAGCTACACGAAAGCAGAGGTGCACTGGGGGGTAAGGGGCAGGGTGCCTAATCAGTTGCAGAGGTGGATGCTATGGGAAGTTGAGGGGGGATGGCTCAGAACTAATTAATTAGAATGCAGGGGTTGGGGAGAAACTGGAAGCAATGCACCATGAGTCAGCTGAGAGAGCTCCTCCAGCAGGGGCCTCAATGAACTTGGGAGAATTGGCAACAATAATTGTCATATGTATATAGTGGGGGATGGACCTGGGGAGTTAAAAAATCAAGAGACAGATGGCAAAAATCACAGTATTATCTTTTTTTGAAAAAAAAAAAATTATTGGGGGGTGGGGGGGGTTGACCTATTATTTTCAGATTTCTGGGATTGATAATACTCCAAACCCTGGCCTCGTGCCACCAGCTGGGTCCTCACCCTAACCCTGGCCTCGTGCCACCAGCTGGGTCCCCACCCTAATCTTGGCTAGGTGCCACCATCCGGGGCTCCACCCTAATCCAGTGTTGGGAACTCTTGTGATTTTTATGACAAGTAATGCAATTCTGGCCCCTGCTGGAGCTAGCCTAGTGATGACACAAGAAGCTCAAGCCTTCAGTAACTTGTTTGTTTTCTGACAGCCCCCTCTGATTGGCTGCATTCCCTGTCCCCTAGTAAAGAAGAGTCAATGACAGCCGCATGCAGGAGGCAGAAGCCAGAGCAGTTTTGGGGAAGGAGAGGGACTGGGGCCGGGAGGGGGAAGGGGAGATCAGCTGACCCCATTCTTACCAAAGGGGAGTGGGAAGGAGGGAGCAGAAAGCTCAGGGTGGTTTATGAACAATAGGTTAGCTTCTGTGTAATCTGCTCTTCCCTTGCCCCCCTCTGTGCTTACCACACCAAGAGTGAGAAAGGGGAGTGAAGATCCCCGGAGCTGCCTGCCTGCCTCACAAGCTGAAGATCTTCCACAGCTCCAGGAGGAGCAGAGGCGAGACATGGAGTTTGGGTGTGTATGTACAGAGCTGCCAATCAGCCACACAACAGTTGACGTGGTTGGAGACTGGGACAGATGTGAAGGCTGGAGGGCACTAAATGAACTGATGTAGGAGGGCAAATCTTGTTTCTTGCTATAAATTGGCACCACTAATTTTCACACACACACCCTGGGGATGGCAGAAATAGTTCAAAATCATTGAAACATCCTTAAAAAAGCCTCATGATACTGTGGCCAATCTCATGATTTTTTGGGGGGGAGGGTCTGACTATTCATTTTTAAATGTTGGGGATTTGGGAATTTTGGTGGGATGATAAACGGACTCCACCCTAACCTTCGTGTGGGGGACACAGCTGCCACCAATGCTAACCCCAGCTTTAGCCAATGACCACCAACCAACCCTAATTCTATCACCAGCCAAACCCCAGACTAACCCGTGCCCATATTGACATTCTGCACATACCCCTTTACCGCATTAAGACCATGGTGTGTGGTTGCTGAAGTAAGGGTAAGGTGAGTGCCTCTGGGTGTACAGCTAGGAGGTATGTACAGTTGGATGGCTTATGTTTTAATTTCCTTGCTTTGTTAGTTCGTGTCAGATATGTTGTGTGTATAGCAACCTTAAATGCTTCATGATGAAGTGTGTGTATGTGTGTTTGAGAATAGTATAATAATCAAATCCATTAAAAAAGCACATACTCAAGAATGTCACATATTAACAAACTATAATGGTGAGTAGATACTAATAAAGCAGGATGTTTTCTTGTTAGGTCAAAGCCCTTCATTTCCATTTTAATGTCATCTATTAAAGTTGTCTGATAATAATATCTAGCTGTGGAAAATAAGGGAGTTATGTGTATAATTATTTTTTTGCAAATAGCACATGCACCTCAGTTTACCTAGTTGATATTATACTATCTGACTGCAAGGAGTTAAATCAAAGTAGGCTGCTGGAGGAGGGGAAGAAGAGGAGAACAAACAGGAAATAAAACGATGGCAAATATAAGGTACGGTCCACAGAATATCAAGGGTCATTGAAGAAACAATGGGGAAACTATTGATTGGAAAACGGTCTTACCTGGCTCCAACCCAGCTGACAAGGTTTACTCTTTCTAGATCTAAGCCTAGATTCAAAACATATTGCACCTTAGAGATGTTAGAGTAGGAAGAAAGAGGGGGAAGTGTTGAGTGGGTTGTCGGCAGCTGCCCAAGAAGGAGATGCTGACAAAGACACAGAGAAAGGGAAAAACTGCAATGAGCAGACCCTTCTCTCTCTCTCTCTCTCTCCCAAACATAGATGGAGGTAACTGGGATGAATGGAATTTACCAAAGCTTGCAAGGAAATATTAAGGTTTAGGTAAGGGGAAATACAAGTATAGACCTTTGTTTTATCCCTTTCCTCTACTTGCTATATATCTTTGGATGAATTCAAAGGCAAAAAACTATGTTAATGTAGAGTTAAGATTGCTTGGTGGTATATTGTCCCCTTGCAGAATGTTGAATTGAGTAAAAACTCAGACTTCTGAAAACCAGGAAATGCAGTTAAGGTTGTCCATCCAAACTTAACTCTGTCCTCTTTTAGCAATGCTTCAATTTGCCCTGTTAACACAAATCTCTTTTACTTTGCAAACCCCACAGTTGCTGAAATGTACAAGCTCTTCACCTCCTTTTACAACCCATTCACTCTCAGCCACAGGATTCCATCTAACGTTATTAAAGGACAACAATGAGGGAAAACAGCTGGGCCTGTTGGGTTAACATGGTTGAGAAACGGGGTTGCCCCCCCAGAGATGCAATCCAAGAGTGGATGGATCACGTGGTTTGACCCTTTGAGAAAGGTGCAGGAAGCCAGGCCTGTCACCTGAAGGATATGCTTGAGAAGGGCTGAAAGGGGCCTAAAGTGCTGCTTGCCCTGTAACCATGTTACTAGCTCTTTTATAGATATATTAATAGGTGAAAGGGGAGAGATTATACTGTATTTTGCAAAGGATTAAAATTCATGTAATCTTTTGATCATCTGCAGTATGAAACAGTGATATTTGGTTAATGTATTTTCCACTAGTACTGTATTTTTGTGTTTGTAAGTAATGTACTTCCATGATCATGGTGTTATATTTTATATCCCACCCTCAGGAGCAGGTAGTTTATGGGTTTCCTGTTGCATATCTAGAGCTGGTTCCTTTGTCCCCCTCCTGCAGGAAGAGTTTCTAGCAGAGCAGCTGGGACTCTGGTTCTCAGCTCCTTCGTGTTGATATGATGAATGCTGTCCCCTCTATCCATCGGCAGCACCTCTTCTCACTTGGAACCAAAGGCAGGTGATGAATTTTGAAATATAGATCTAAAAATCAGAAAATGAGAGCTACTCTTTAAACAGAACAAAAAGACCCTATAGAACTATTAGGGATTGTTTCTTAATTTAAAAATTGGTAGGGGGAATGAACTACCCCTTCAGAGCATCCTAACTCTGTCAGATCTATGATGTTATGAGAGTGAAGAGCACTGTGGCAGCCAAATGCTAGGACCAGCACAGGTACAGAACATCTGTGAACCAGTGGAGCTTGCTTATTGTCAAAAGAACAGAATCATAGAATCATAGAATATAAGGGTTGGAAGGGACCCCAGAAGGTCATCTAGTCCAACCCCCTGCTCGAAGCAGGACCAATTCCCAGTTAAATCATCCCAGCCAGGGCTTTGTCAAGCCTGACCTTAAAAACCTCCAAGGAAGGAGATTCTACCACCTCCCTAGGTAACGCATTTATCTGAGCATAAGCTTTCGTGAGCTACAACTCACTCCATGATGAAGTGAGCTGTAGCCCACAAAAGCTTATGCTCAAATAAATGTGTTTGTCTCTAAGGTGTCACAAGTACTCCTGTTCTTTTTGTGGATACAGACTGACATGGCTGCTACTCTGAAACCTGCTTATTGTCAGTTGCTCAAGTGACTAACATGCTGGGTGTCTAGAAAAAACAATCCAAGCCACCTCATCTTTTTTCCCTGGGAGCAATCTGCAGTGAACAGGGATTCAGAAGCCAGTAGCAGGAGGAGCTTTGCTGAAAGGGACCTAATTTGTTTAAAAAAAGAAAACTTCCTCATGTCCACCTCGCTTGCTCCAGAGGAGGAAAAGAAGAGACAGACGGGGAAATAATGAACTCAGAGCTTGCAAGATATTGATGCCTGTGAGTAGGAGTGTGACACCCTATACCTCATGTTCACCACTTTTATATGTTTGATATATTTAGTATAAAGAATGCCTTGTGAGATATCATTTGAAAACTCATAATCTGCTGAATATTGCTATCTTGTTGAAATGGGTGTAACATCACTGCATGTAAAAATTATGAAATTTTGCTATAGAATTGTTACTGAAATATGTTGTAGCTCTGGGTAATGCCCACAAATCATTTTCTCAAAGACAAGGATATGCTGGCACATCAGCAAAGTGCTAAACGGTCATTACCTATTTAATTGACTATTCACTGGCAGGGGGGAGGTATAAACAAAGAATTTACATTTTGTCCCAAAAACACTTCAAACCTCCCATACACAGGATACTGTTAGTCTACACTCTGGCTGAGGAGGGGTTACCCTCAAAGAGGGGAGTGGGATATAAAATGGGACACTGACCTCCACCTCACCTCTCCCCTCCATCTCTACTCACAGCAGCAAGATCACCTGAAAGACAAAAGAAGCATCATTGAACTCGGGGGAGTGATCCTGGCCTGGAGATTTTCCAGCCAGCAGACTACTGTAGGCTTTTGGTGAGGAAAAAGTCCTTGTGTTTTTCTATTAGCCTTGGTAAAGTTTAGGAATTTGCTTGCATGTTTATCTTTTTATTTCTTTTTGTAACCAATCCTGACTTATATGCCTCTATACTTGTAATCACTTAAAATGTATCTTTCTCTAATTAATAAACTTGTTTTATCGTTTTATCTTCACCAGTTTGCGTTTGGATTAAAGTGTGTGGAAAAATCCATTTGGGATAACAAGGCTGGTCATATATCATCCCCAGTGTTGGAATGAGGGACTTCTTATGAGTTTGCACTGTCCAGTAGAATACTAAGCAGTACAAGACACATGTTTCTGGGGGAGAGGACTGGGGCTAAGACTATATGGGTGTTGCCCTGTATATAATTTCTGGATGGCTGGGGAGAGTATTCAGCTGGGAGTGATTTTTACATGCTAGTGGCTGTGTGTGAGTAGACCCTGGGGAGGTGGTTGTTTACCAGCAAAGTAGTGTAAAAGGCACCCCAGGCTAAGAGTTCAGGGGACACTGCTGTTCAACAGTCCAGACTATACCCTGGGGAATGTCACAAGGACTTAGAACACTTTCTTCACCTGCTTGTTTCTCCCATTAGGCAAAAGAAAAGTGGTCACAATCTTATAGTCTTAATACAGGTGAAACCCCATTGGAATCAGTGAGAGTTCTGATCAAAGTCATTGGGAATTTTGCTTATGTGGGAACTGCAAGATTGGTTTTGTTAACAGAGTAAAAGATTGACCATATTTATTTAGTTATTAAGTTACAAAAATGACTGGTGGACTTTCTTCGGACTGAATATGACTGCTAAACCATTTATTCAAACTGAGAATAACCCTTCTTTACCTATATGAGTAAGCAGGAAGCATAATCAATCAGCTGAGTCGACTTTTTTGGGATCATGAGTGATCCTGTGCCAGGAGTGGAGAAGGAAGGTATCACAAGATAATATCAGCTCTTTCATGGAATCGGAGGGAACTTTCATTTTTTGAATAGCTTCTTCTCTCCATTTCTGTTGCCAATCATAGCTTTCTGCATTTGCCCAATTTAATACATGTATTAAAAAAAGTTAGGTTATGTAAAGCTGTGTTCATATACTCCATCCTTGATTCCCTCTAGTCTGGTTTCCACCCTCCTGTGTTACTGGAAGTGGTCTCACCAATGACCCTTTTCTGGCTAAATCTCAGGGCCTCTTTTTTGGTCTTTAGCCTCCTCCCCCACTTGGCTGCTTTTCATATCACTGATCTAACTCTCCTTCTCTTTGGCTTTTCCTGACGCCTACCTTGCTCCCCTCAGATCATTCAAAATAATCACCATCTTAACATCATTCTGACCATATAACCCCTAGGAAAGAGTATACTGACCCTTCAAGGGTCAGCCTGGAGTTCACAGATCAGCCAGGGAGCAATTTAGGACACTCCCTGCTCTGCCGCAGTGACTTCTTTTAACAGAAAGAGGAAGCTGAGTGGGGGGGGGGGGAAAGAGCCTAAAAGCTGAGTAGCCTGCACAAGGAGGTGATCTCTCTCCAGCTCCCAGGAGGTTAGTGTGACCAGGCATAGTGACTGTGTTTTGGATATATAATTGGGAGATCTGAACTTGGGTCCTGAGGTAAGGGCGTTTGATTTGTTTTCACATGTACTCTTTCTCTGGGGCTTCAGTAAAGGCGATAGTTCTTTTCACTAGTTTGGTTTGGCTTCTTATTGCTTTGATCTGTGCAAGCAGAATGGTTGATACCCAGTGAGGTGGGGCTCACCTGCAGTGCCATATCTGGCCAAAAGGAGGTGCTTAGGGAGGCCCACCTCTTTACAATCTCCTTTGAGAGCCTCTTTTAATGATTAATTATTATCATTTGAATTGCAATCGCATCTAGAACAGAGGTCCCTAAAGTGTGGGGTGCACCCTCCTAGGGAGCATGGAGGACCCTCCGGGGCCCATGGTAGGGCCCAGGCCAGGCCCCACAGGGGTGGGGAGGGAGTGCCACCCAGCCCCTTCCCATCCCCAGCTCTCCTCTGGTCTGGCCCCCAGCCACATCCCTGGCTCCCAGCCCCTGCATGCCTGGCCCCATCCCCAACCTCAGCCACTGGCCATGGCTCCATTTCTGGTCCAGGACCAAGGCTGGTGGCAAGGCCGGGAGTGAAGTCGAACCTCGCTGCGGGCCAGCTGCTGGTCCCCACCGCAACCCAGCTGTGGCTCCGCTCCCACCCCCACCCCTGCTGCAGCTCCTGGCTACGGCCCCGGCCCAGACCCACCCCTAGTTGCGGCCCTAGTCTTGGCCCCCTAACTTCTGTCTTGCTCAGGGGGGCTGGGGAGTCACAGACAGGGTAAGGGGGGGGCACTCAACTCTCAAAAGTTTAGGAATTGCTGACCTAGAGGTTCCTAGGCTCCGCATTTTCATTGCATTAGATACAAATTACTTTCGCTTATCTATGAAACAAGATACAAACTACTTTTGCTTATCATATCATAGTCCTTCCACCTTTATCTTTCTTTTCTTATATTGCTCCACCGCCCCTTTCCGATTGCTGATGCCATCCTCTATCACCTGTCATCTGGTTTTCTCCTATGCAACTTTCTCATTGATTTCACACCCGTTTTCCAATTTATAAAGATCATTCTGGAAATCCTGTCCTCCAAAGTGAATACAACCCCTCCTATCTTAGTGTCCTCTGCAAATATTGTAAGCATAATCTCCTCTCCATCGTTTAAGTCATAAATGAAAATATTGAATAGTACTAAACCTAGGACAGAACCCTGCAGGACCCCACTTGGTACATCCTCCCAGTTTCACACTGAATGATGGGTAACTATTCTTTAAGAATAATCTTCCAATCAGTTATGCATCCACCTTACAGTAACTTCACCTAGCCTAGACCATATTGCCTACGAGAATGTCATGTGGGACTGTGTCAAAAGCCTTACTGAAGTCCAGATATATAACTTCTTCTGCTTCCCCTCTATACACTAGGCTGGCTACACTGTCAAAGAAGGAAACTAGGTTGGTTTGGCAGGATTTGTTCTTGACAAATTTATGTTGTGTATCACCTTATTATCCTCTAGGTTTGATCAGATTAAACAATAAATCTGTTTCAATATCTTTCTAGGTATGAAAGTTCGGCTGAGCGGTCAAGATAGGAACTATGTTTGCCCTTCTCAAGTGGTCTGGGACCTTAGCTGTCCTCCATGAATTTTCGAAGATAACCACTAATGTTGAGAGATTGCTTTGGCTAGTTCCTTAAATACCCTAGGGAGAATTTCATCAAGTCCTGCTGACTTGAAACTGTGATGGCAGGATCATGTTGAGATAACAATGTGTGTGCTGCATCTTTGTCCAGTAGTTGCCTCAAGGGTTCACACACAACTGAGAGGCTTGGAAAAAATTTTTTCAGAAAGTTCACAAATCCTAAGGGCTTGTCTACACTGGCAAAAAACACCGCCCTGAGCCCTCAGCGCTGTAAAGCACCAGTATAGACAGGGCACCAGTGCTGGAGATGGTTTTTTTTTAGAGTGCTGGGAGAGCTCTACCACGACTACACGAGCCATGTTAAAGCGCTGCCATGGCAGCGCTTTAGTGTTCCTAATGTAGACTAGCCGTAAGTGTCTGAACTGATTTAACATCTTTAGGTGTTGGCATCTACTGTATTGCTCTTTCCTTTTGTTATAGCCTTTGGGAGGTCAGCAAATGTCCCAAGAAGGATACTACAGTGAATTGCAATTTCATATTGTATTTATTCAATTTCAGATACTTCCCTGGCACTTTCTCGTAGACAAGTGAGGTTCTGGTCATGATTACCACAGCTTCTGCCATGCTGTCCCCACGTTGGTGTACTAGAATATCATCAGCTGTGATACTGATCCCTGAGAGTCCTGTTGGTAGGTATGGCTAATAATGTTGATTATTTTCCTGCTGGAGATTGGATCCAAAGAGGCATTATCATCTATCTGTATCGACCTGCTGGTGTCCAATATGCCGCGAGGTACCAGCTTTCTTTATCCAGTACTGCTACAGGGAATGCTACGCTGCATTGTCTGCTCTGGATAGGTTGGTTATTTTGCTTGTGTGTCTATTTTGTGAAACATTTGTCCCAGGAGGAGTGTCAGTAACTCCATGAACTAATTTTTAGCTGAAAACAGGGTTTCCTGTATTGTATGTTCTACCTCAAATTTCAGCCTTTATACTTTTCCTTGGTATTCTTTTTGTAATTTACACTGTCTTAGTGGCATTGCCATTGAATAGTTTTAATTTGACTTTTCTTGGTTGCAGTTTTGCTTTTTTCTTTTTTTGTAGCTTAGCATATTCACTAATGGCCCACTGTGTATTTGGCATTTAGTATCCAATTTGTGTGCTGCTGTCTTCTCTTTGCATGTGGTGCTAGTCTGAGTATTATAAACCATTTATTTTTGCTGAAAGAACAGGAGGACTTGTGGCACCTTAGAGACTAATAAATTTATTGGAGCTTAAGCTTTCGTGGGCTACAGTCGATGAAGTGAGCTGTAGCTCATGACAGCTTATGCTCTAATAAATTTGTTAGTTTCTAAGGTGCCACAGGTACTCCTGTTGTTTTTGCAGATACAGACTAACATGGCTGTTACTCTGAAACCTGTCATTATTTTTGCTGGTTTGCACTGCATTAATGTCATACGTGCAAAATCTGGTGCTCTGTGTTACTGATTCCTTAATATGGTGCAATTTTTCTTTCTTTGCTTTTCTCATCAGCAAGCTTTGGCATAATGATTTTTCTTGGCACAATTATGGTATATAACCCCCTTATGTAGGGCATTTTTCCATACTCATGTTTTTCTCTACAGTTACCTTGCCTCCCCCACTCCCTGGTCTTTCTTTGTGTTTTTGTTTGTCGCTTCTACTTTGTATTTGTACATTTACTTTTGCATGAATGTTGGTATATTTTTCTTTGTGTTTTACTACTTTCCCTGAGCTGCTTGGTGAATTATCTGTGTGTCTGCTCCACTTATTCTCTGCATTTGGATATGAACTTGTTCACTTGCTTTGCACACATCTATAGCTCTTGGTAGAGTTATTGGGGGCTTTCTAGGCATTTGCATTCAAGCGTCTGTATCTTTCATCCCTATTACTAATCTATGCCAAATTCGTTCATCTTTTAATCTTTGATAATCAGATGAGTCAACCATTGTCCAGTAGCCTGGCAATATTCTGATCTATTGTTTCTCCAGATTCTTGATCACAATTGTTGAAGATACTTTTCATATACAACATTTTTTGTGGGTTGAAAATTATTTTGGGGGCACCGCTAGGATTTTACACAGGTCCTCCTGATCTGCTGCTGATATATCTAGATGCTATTGGAGCATATGTCAGCCTTTGTCCATTACAATGAATGTATAGTGTGACTGCTGGCTGTTCTTTTTTTTGTTTCTGTGTTGCTATTCTGTAGTTTTCTGTAGTGGTCTAAAGAATGTCCAATTGCTAAACACATCTCCTTTACGTCCATCTACTCAGGGACAGGAATCCGGTATGCTGCTATGATTATTGTTTCATTTGTGTGGTTTTGTTTAGTTGTTTTTTTTGTTTCTGATTTCCTGTGCCTGTAGGCGCCAACTCACTTCTGACACCATGTTCAGTGTTCAAGCATAATAGAGAGAAAGCTAAGACACTGCAATATTCAGGTTTGATACAGTCCTCCCTTATCAAGCACTTTCAGAAAGTAGAATTTTTTACATTCTTAGAAATTATCATATATGTAGAATATGATAGTATGTTTAACACCCCTTATTGGTAAGTTACCTATTGTAACACTCTCTTTACAAATTATAGTTGCTATTATCACACTGATATTGACACTTCTTCCCAGAATAGCTTTACAGGACATCTGAAATAACTCTGATTCCTCTTTCTTATCCTCTCACTACAATTCCCTTAGGGTAATGGAGAACCAGTTTTCACACTGGAACTTACATTTCGTTTGTCAGATTGTGTAGGACTTGACCTTCATCTAACATGTAAACCACTATCCCAATGGAGGGTCTTTCTTTCCCAAACAAGGAGGATATTCTCATAGACACTTCATCAAATCAGTTAATTCTCACTAGCTTTTATGATGTCTTGTACTGTCAAGCCTTCCAGACACACTCTAAGCATCTGGTCCAGCACTTGAATTTGTGCTAACAGAAGACATAGATTTCCTTCTGTATATATGAATTGAAATACAAACTTTGTTTTTTCTTCTTTGTACAGTGCTTTTCTCTGTGTTTAAAGTGGTCTGAAAAAGTGTGGGTGAGGGTCTCATTACCCCATCTGCCCATCCTTCTGCCCAGCAATTAATTCTGTCACAAACCCCAAATCAATCCTGTCCCCTCAGTCCTCACACATCAGTTGTGGCCCCACATTTGTTCTGCCTCCCCTGCAGCTCCTGGGGTTCTTCACTCCTCTCCTCAAGCCTGGGAAGGGGCTTCGGGGGTTCTTCACCCCACTCTGCCCCTTCCCAGGCCAGGTGTTTTAGAGAGGAAGGAGGAGCAGAGGGCCATGTCATTGCTCATTGGAGGGGAAAAGGGAGCAGCACCACGCTGAGCTGCTAGGTGTGGTTGGCTGCTCTTCCCAACAGCAAGTGGGGAAGACAGCCAAATTCATCGGATAAGGTGATTTTGGCCCCTGCTGGAATCATTACTTACTTGTAATCCTGCTTCTCTCAAGGTGTTGTGATGAATCTGTGAGCTCCTAGAGGGCAGTGTTAACTTCCAGCACAACATCCTGCCAGTACAGGACTCCATACTTCATCCAGCACTGGGAAGGGAGGGAACCTGGCTCAGGAGGGAGCCAGAGGATGCATTGAGCAGGAGCAGTAGGTCAGAGGCAGCCTGTGAAGAGAAGGCATGAGCTGGGAGAGAACAGCTAAGCAGCAGCCTGTTGTTGGCAAGGGGGCCATGCTAGCCCCCTTGATAGTTGAATACTTGCGAATACCTGCAAATGGGGTGGCAGGACTGAAAGAACTGAACTCTGGGGGACTGCAGGCCAGTGTGTGATTGCTTCCTTCAGGGAGTGTCCCTGGTGCTAGGCAGGAGGCGCTCTGCTTTCATAGCATAGGATTGGGAACTATTGTGTGTTCGGTTTTTGTCTTTATTTGGATAAACATTAAAACAAACATACAGAGGTTAACTGGACTGTTTATATGGGGCAGCCCCACTAGGGCAATCCTTTGTTGTTCATGAGACTTTGAGTGTATATCACCATGGGCTGGAACCTTGAGAGCCTAACTGCACCTGAGACCGCACCTTAATTCCCCCATCTCTCAAAGCGTCCTGGCCTGCTTCATTCTGAGACCAACTGCCACCAGCTCAGTGCATCCAGAACATTCAATTTCAGTTCCTTGAGGAGCAGGAAGCAAAGAGGTCCCCAAACGCTAAGTGTAACAAATGTCCAAAGAGGGTGTATAGAATAGGGCCATAATGTATATAATTCAGAGAAGCAGTATTACATGTAATAATAATAATAGAACAAAATGCTTATATAGCACTATCATGTACTATACAAAGGAGATCAGTATGATCACCCCCATTTTGCAGATGGGGAAGCTAACACACAGTGAACCAACGTGACTTGCCCAAAGTCACCTAGCAGGCAGTGGCCAAGCCAGTAATGGAAACCAGGTCTACTGAGTCCCAGTCTAGTGCTTTATCTACTGAGCTAGAGTAGGGGTAAAGGGATCTGTGCGTGGACCTGAATGCCAGTGCCCGAACCTTCCCTCACTCAACAGGGAGCCAGGAGGGGCCTCAGCCAGTGATAAACCACAGATCACCCGCAGACAGGCACAGAGGGGGCTGCTGGTGGGGACAGGCCTGCCAATCGCTCTCCCCCCGCCCCTTGGACAGCAGCAGGGAGCTAGCTGACGTTGCCCTTTTAAGAGCAGCCCCGTCGTATCAGGCCTGTGACGTCAGAGAGCGCAGAGCCCTAGTCCCCGCTGCCTCTGTTATTGCAGCCAAAGGCTGGGAGTAGCAGCAGCGGCAAGGGCAGCTCTGGCTGTGCCGGGGGCTTCGCGCAGTGCCGCTGCCCGGGCGCGTGCGGGGAGACCGCTGGAGCCCCTTCCGCAGAGCCTGGCCATGCACAGGGATTCAGCCGCCGCCGCCGCCTCCACCAGCAGGAACTTTCCTGGCGGGAGCCTAATGGCTGCGAAGGGGGAAATCTAAGAACAAAGTCTTCGCCTCCAGCTCGGGAGCCGGGGAGAGGGTGATCCGGCAGCAATGAGCCCAGGGGCTGCTTGGCACTGATGTCTCCGTGCCTCCCCCAGGCGGGAGGACTGAGAATCCCTCGCTTACCTTCCTGCTCCTCCCCTGGCGCACAGCCGAGCGAGTGAGCGAGGCAGGGGCGGCAGAGGGGCAGCAGCTCCCCCCGGGGGGGCTTTGAAACTGACTTGGAAACTTCCACGGGGCCAGGGCTCCGCCGGTCGCACCCCGCCGCCGCCTCCCCCCCGCCGGCGTTCCCACGGAGAGCCCGCTTCGCCCCGGGTTTGGGGGCGGCTGTGAATTTGTAAACTCTCCCCCCCGGCGGTGTCATGGCGGTGAAGGGGGCTGCGGCAGGTACCGGAATGTTGTTAGTAACAGCCAACGTTGGATCCCTCTTTGATGATGTAAGTAGCGTGGCTGGGGGTGTCTGCACACCGGGAGGGAGGAAGGGAGGCGGGAGCCCAGGTTGTCGCTGCCGCCCGGGGCGTTCCTGGGTCCCAGCTCGCCCGTGCGGCGGCCGAGCCCTTGGCCGGGCTGCGCGGAGGATGCCGGCTGTGCGGGGGGGGGGTGCGCGCGTCTCTGGGGCGGCGGAGGTCCCGGTGCATCTCCCCGGAGTGAATCGGAATAACGAGCAGGATCCCAGGCTGCTCACTGCCTTGGTGGGTGGGTTTTGCCCGGTCCTAGCGCCCTGCCGCCCGCTCGTTCTTCTACGGCGAAGGGGGTCGGGGCTCGGAGCGCCGCCCAGCCCGAGCGCGGGGGCGGGCTTTGCACGGGCAGCACCAGCGCTAGGGCACTGCCAGGGGGAGTACCGGCCAGTTGCAAGGTTCGTGCTCGTCCTCTGAGCCACCCCGGAGGCGGGAGGGGCCTGGAGAAAGGGCTCCGGCTCCAGCTGCCTCACCGGCCCGGGGCGCGGGGAGGCATCATCTCACCGTCACCGCTCCTAGCGCGGCTCTCACGGGCGGGTCCCGCACGTACAGGCGGGCCGGGGTCGGTCCTGCCTGCCGGGCGTGGGAAGCGACTGCCTCCGTGCTGCTGCAACCACATCTTCCCCGCACGCCCTGCCTCCGGGCTGGGGAAGCTTCCCAGCCTTCTCGCAGCTCCGCTGTCCCGGTCCTCCCCCATTCCCGGCAGCATGCAGCAAAGTCTGTGCAGTGCGGAGCCAGCTAGCCTTCTGCCTCCTCCCCAGCCGCCCCCCTGCCTGAAGCAGGGCCCTTCCTTGCCAGGGGTGGGGGAAGGATTCACTGCTTCCCATGCATCCTCCATTCCTAGATAGAAAACTGCTAGGGTCTGCCTCTGAAGATCCCTGAGCGGCAAATCCACCGCCCCAAGGCTTGCTCGCTGGGGAAAGTTTGTTTGTTTATCATCAGCCGGTTAGCAACAGTGTGCCATGTTCACTCCGTGCCCTGGTGACTTTGTTGTGTTTCTTTTTTGTTTATACACGCTCCCCGAGGGCTGTATAAACGAAGTAGACTTCCAAGCCGGGAATGCCAGGGAAAAGGTGGTAGCTGTCAGTGGGGCGTTGCTGTTAGAGAAACTGTTTCACATATGAAAGGAATAAAGGCAAGAGTGTGTTAGTGCTTTTTAATTAGAAACTACAAATCGGAGATTGACTCTCATTTAAAGGATTAGCCATGTTCATGTACACACACTCCTCTACACTTAAGCCTTCAGAGAGCTCTGTGCAACTCAGTGAAACTGCTGTCAAGCAAAAGTAGTTTTCCTTTCTGTAGCTTTTAGAATCTCTCCAATTATACATATATTTTTAAAACCAAAAAGGCTTGGAGTGATATCTGGTGATGACTAGTTTCAGAGTAGCAGCTGTGTTAGTCTGTATTTGCAAAAAGAAAAGGAGTACTTGTGGCACCTTAGAGACTAACAAATTTATTTGAGCATAAGCTTTCGTGCATCCAATGAAGTATCTCACGAAAGCTTATGCTCAAATAAATTTGTTAGTCTCTAAGGTGCCACAAGTACTCCTTTTCTTTTTATGGTGGTTGTGTATAATAAATCTGTTTTTATTTAGCTAATATTATTGTATTTTTGTAAATATTTATAAGGTGTTGCACTTTTTTCCATAAAACTTGACTACTTATTCGTTTTTAAATGCCCTTTTCCCCAGCGTTGGTGTATTTTATGTCAGCTGTTTTGTTCTCCTACTAGTAAATTTGTAAGTTGAATATTTGCTGAGGGTGGACTTTTGTTTCTTTGGAGGCCTTAGTGAAAATGTCAAGGTAACCAGAGTAATTTAGTCTGCAGCAAAATGCTTTCTTAGAATATTATTTATACTCTTCTAGGTTTTCATTTTTTCTTAACATATCAAGCAATATATCATGGTCTCAGATGATACAATTCTTTCTCTGTGGTTCTGAAGCTTCAGAAATAAAACCTTACATTGCTTTCATTCTCACGGGGGAGGGGGAAATCTACTGCATTCCTTCCAGTAATCTCAAAAATGCTGCAACTCAGCTATACTTCCCCCCCCCCCCAATATTTTTTTACATCGTGTCATGAAAATATAATGCTTTAATTTTTGTTTAGCGCAATATATTATTCACAGAAATATTTTAAATATTTTTCCAGAGAAAATGGCTAGGATTAAAAAGCAAAGAGGAGAAATTTTGTTTGTAAATTGGCAAAAGTTAGTTTATCAAAATGCTTTAAACTGCACAACCTTCAGAATGATAGCTGGGATAACAGCCAGGGTTCCGATCCTGCAAGGACTTACATGTGTGGGGTGAATTCTGGTCCCTCTGAAGTCAATGGCAAAGCTCCAGTTGACTTTTTGATGAAACCAGGCTTTCACCCACGGTGAATGGAGTAGTCCCATTGCCTCACAGCTCATAAAATTGAGAACATGCATAAGTCTTTGCATGGTTTGGGGCCCAAGATTCTCTTAGGTGAAGACTGTAGCCAAGTGAACTAACATTAGATTTGCCTCATGTTCATGTGTTAAACGCAAATCATTGTTTAAGTGTACCTCAGTGAGCAAGTTCCAGTTTTTTTGTTGTCATAATTAAAGCAAGTGGAATTTCACCATTCATAGGACACTGATAGATGCCTGCATTAAAGACACAGTTAGTCTTTTAACTAATTTTATTAAAAAACACAGTTTGAATTCGGCCTACATTTATTTTAAAATGCACATGTATTCAGTTTTGTATTATAAAAAGAATATGTACAAATTATGGCCTTGATCCTTCATACTTTTACTCAGGTGAATAACTTTATGTACATGGGTAGTCTCACTGAGTGAAATACAATTATAAATGTGTTTGCAGGACCAGAGCCTGAAGTGGCAAAGTAATTTGGTCTCAGTATGCTTTCTCTCTTCAGAAAAATACATGCTAGAGCATTAGCTCAGAATGTGTTGTGTAAATTCTCCTACGGCTGGTAGGGATTTTATCTCTTGACTTTTGAGCACTGTCATTGAGGTAATCCATGTCTTGAGATTCAGTGACTGCCTGGAAGCTCTTAATTTGTGTTGTAGGAGGTGTTAAAATTCTTAGAGGATCTGAAGCACTTTTATTATTCATTGAAATGTACATGAGCCCAAAAAGGAATATGTTGGTTATTCTCTTAAAATGGAAACAAAAAGAGTTTCTACGACAAGAAGAAGAAAGGGTGTATTTGGATA